CACCCACCATGAGGCCTGTTGAGCTAAAAACACATCAAAGTCTCACTTGGAAAGCCCTTGATCAGACAATACGAAACATTCCAGACAACTTTCTGAGAATCAAATAACACCCCGACAACCTTCGGTGAGGAACGGTGCTCGTAGGGTTGATTGCTTAGGCTTTTGGCCCTGAAATTATTAAATATATTTATTTTCTTAAACCCCGAGTACTGGCGTTCAAGTCGTAAGGGGGTTACCTAACTCCTAAGAGAGGTGAGGCGGGCGGTTGGAATGCGCATCAGAGGTGAGTGCCGCTCTGGAATCCTCTCTCTTAAGAGTAGGCCAATAGTAGGCCGATGCTCTATTATCAACCTAGCAGGAATCCTCTCCCTTAATAGTAGGCCAATAGTAGGCCGATGCTCTATTATCAGCCTAGCTGGAATCCTCTCCCTTAAGGGTAGGCCAATTGTAGGCCGATGCTCTATTATCAGCCTAACTGTATTTCTATAACCCAAAAAGTTTCAGGAAAAATTGCATAAAACTCTAAAAAATGGATTTTCTAAGCAATTTACCCCCAACCCTAACCATGTAGCAACTTTTTCCCCAAAACCAAGATTCACAGCAAATGCCCTCCAAATAAATAAATAAAAAAACGAGACTAAAATTCCCCTCCCTTACCTCACACGTTGACCATGGCGGTCCGACGTTTGGAAGAGGCGGATCGACGCTTAAGTCACTGATTTGGAACGGTCAGGTACTTCACCATGACATTCTGAAACTTCGTCATGGCAGCTCAAAGTTTGGAAGAGGCAATCCAACATTTGTTTCTGGATTAATGAGCGGTTTCGGTATTTGTGAGCTACGATCCGGCAAAATTGAAAATTGTGTCTGGAATAGGCAGCCCGACAGTGTACAGTTCCAATCCGACAGAATGGATGGGTACGACAATATACAATCGTGGTTCGGCGTTTCCTTTTTTTGGGATCCGAAAATGATTTGTTATGTACAAAAAGGGTATTTTTGTCAAAAAATGAACTTTTTGTATTGAGAGGGTATTTGCTATAAAACTTGATTTTTGGGAAAAATATGCTAAGAAAATTTAAGGTGGGGTAAAATGCCTAGAAAGTCTATTTTTGAGGGTTTTATGCAATTTTCCCAAAGTTTTACTAGCTTAGGAACACATTCTCAACCCAACCTGCCCATTAGTGACATAAGTCAAATTTAAAAAAAAAATTGTTTTTGATTGTTGTACGTGTAGAATCGACCGACTAGCGGTCACTAGGTCAACGTATCTCACAATCAGGTGTTCCCCCAGAGGGAGTTCGACTTGGAGTCGACCACCGCATCCAAACCTAGCTCTAAGTCAGACCCATTAGTGTACCATACAGGTGGTGTCTATTCGAGGGGACCTGCCCAAGCCAAGACCCATCCCAAGGTGTTGTTTATGTTAAGGTCCTTCTGACCAAGTCAACCTAGATTCAGTATGTCTTCAAGACCAACGGGTCCATCCTCAAAAAACCTAATCGCCAAGTCAATGATCAAGTAGCCCACCCTAATAGAACCACTAGCCAAAAGAGGTGTGTATCGCTAGGACCACTCTCAACAGTTAAAAGGAATTAGACCAGGTGTCATCTTGCGACAGTTAGGGATAGAAACCCAACCCAGCCGTAGGAATCAACTCCACAATGAGTCTATGCCTTGTCCAACAACCAATCCCACCATTCAAACAAACCATACCCTCAAAACCAAAAGGCTCAGGGTTGGGGTAATCGGGAATCTCAAAAATTTAGCGAACCTATCGAAAACCCCTTAGTCTAAGCCCTAGTCCTAATACTGGCTGACCAAGGGTACAACATTCCGCTCACAACCCCTATCTCAGACCATGCTCCACCTAAAAACCCGAGTCAACCCACTCATAGGGTGGAGCATGACTAGGCCGTTGGCTTGGAAGTCCAACCCAGTCAGTCAATTTTGTATGTTTACCGACCCATAGAGGCTCCACTAGCTCAACTTGTGTCCCGAGCCCATCAGTTCGCTCAGTTGCATCACTTTAGACACCTCTAGCACAGGCCAATGACGTATAAGGTTCAATCCTGATCCCAACAAACTATCCAATATACAGGATGAAAACCCTCATTGAGACCCTGGTTAGGTTAGGCATTCATGATGCCCTTCCTCAAAAGGCATACTTCTAAGAGGCCCTAAGAGACATGGAGGATCTTCCATCCACCTTTCTCACCCAAGATTTCGAAACATATTCATCGCGAAAGGAGACATCGAAACTTATGTAAGGCATACCTCCTATCAGTGCCTATGCTAACGAATAGGCCGAACCAACTTAAAGCAATTTTTTCTGACACCCTATCAAGAAACCCCCTTGAATGGCATAGCGACATAATGCAAAATTACCCCATCTTTGATATCCGATGGGTAGAAGGTCCAAAACCCTAGACTCGAGTTGGGTCCAGATCTAGGTTGACCAAACCCATTGCCACCCATAGGTTCTAAGGGTCCAAGCAATCATGCACCACCAGCATACGCAAATGGGTTTTCTTTGGAAGAGAGGGAATGCATATGGTTTGTCCGACCTGGAATAAGCCAAGGATGTGCCACAAAAGGAAAAAAGGTCATGAAGCCTTTTTATGTCAGAGTTTCTAAAAAGTCTTTTTAAGTTTTCAGGCATGTTGAGTCTTTAATAGCCCATTTCAATAGTGGGACAGAAAGAAACAAAGGTTGGCAGCGACGAGTTGTGGGAGAAATAGAAACAAAGATTAGCATCAACAAGAGCCAAGCTGTGGCACCACTACCTCCACCTCGGGTGGTTTTTGAACAAAATGGGACGGTGACGATGTCTGCCGGGGAGTTTAAGGGTTGTCTCCAGGCATCTGGGAAAGAGCCACCTTCTAATGGTGGTCATGGGAGAGTTGCAGAGAAGAGGATATGGGTTTTCGAGAGAGAAAAAGTAGAAACATGATAGGGTTTTTGTATTTCGTAAGTTTTAGGGTTGCAAAATTTTGATGCCATCTACACCGTCGGGCCCAATTTTTTTAGCCTATGCCACAACACAAAAGGTGCAAAACTTTTCCAATGGCCAAATAAATATGCATTTCACATGGAGAAGAATCAAAAGAACAAATATGCACAAGTCATGTAAAACAGAAACCTCCTTGTAATAAACAAAAACTTGTCACAATGCATACTTACACACAGAAACACTGAGAAATCCGTTAAATTGTTACTGTTCATGTGCACATATATGGCTCCAGTGCATATACCCACCATCACATCAACAATAGTAAATACCTTGCTTTTCCTTGTCAACCAAATGACCAGCTTTCAATTTTATGTGATGGTGCAAATGCTCAAGCACCTCTATTGTAACAAAATATGAAACCTTAGCCATGCAAGTGCTCATCCACTTGCCCATTAAGGGGTATGCACCTTGGCCACTGATCACATAGGATCTAGTTGTTGTATGGTCAGGGTTCAACAATTTGACTAAAGGTGGTGTATGCAATAAAACTCATCTCGTATTTTTTTATGAGAACTTACCAACCACAAAGGTGAAAGCACAAAAGATTAAGCATTAGAAAGAAACAATGATAGTTTACGTTTACCGAGAAGGACTCCAAATCTCGGAGAAACATGGATAGTGGGGCAGGGGATGGGAGATGGGGGATGTGAGCCATCCCATTGATCGACAAAAATTAATCTTTCAAATTTCTAAATCTATAGAACCCAAATAATGCCTCTTCTACAAGCTCAATTGAAACATCTTTCAAAAAGTAGCATACAATCCCCTCATGTAATCCACATATATTATGTGAATTTTCTCCAAGAAATAACTCAAATATGCCTCACTAATATAGGTCTCTTTCTTTATTTTCTCTAGCTAGGAGATATCTCAACTTCTACCGCCTTCCCACATGGGAGGAGCTCTCACAAAAATAATCTTTTCTCCCCATATATTGAATTTGAAGAGGTGAAACATGTTTCTCACATATCTTGATATATAGGCATTCAAACCTAGAACAAAGTCCAAATTTAATGCAAATTTTCATTTCCCTTTTGCCAAGTGGAAACTGAAATGGCATATTCCATTCAAGAGCAATAAACTTATAACAAACCATCTACGTGCTTTCTTCTATTTGCAAGACTAGATTTCTTGAATTTAAACATCACTTACAGCCCTTGATGAGGGCAGATCTATTATACTGTTAACTACAAATCAATCAAATAAACATTCAAAATGGCCATGGACCATGGTACATTTCCGGGAAAGAATCAGACCAAAACAAAATTCAATGACTTCAAAGAAGCGTAACCTGTTTTCTATACTTGTTCGCTGAATTGACAATGTATATTAGTTTGCTTCGTATACAGAATGCAATATATAATAGAATGATCATAGAAAATTCATATATATTATCATAACTAAAGCATCATCAAAATCTACAATCCTTAAGCATCACCATCCCAAAATTTTCAGAATACCTAAGATTACTTTCTAGATTGGAAGCTTTCTTTTTGTTCAGGATTATTGTTGTGTTCCAGCATAAGCTGAGGGATCTAATTCCAACAGAAGTTGTTATTGCATAAACTAATGCAAAGTTGTGGCACTAGACACGATCCACTTTCCAACAAGGCATTCAAAAAATTGCAAACATTCCATAGATGTTAAGCATTTGGGCCATACACCCAGATTAACCTTCTTTAAAAGAGGCTTCAGAAGTTCTGATAAACCTCAATATATGACACAATAACTCAATTTGATCCTCAAGAAAGAGGCCTTTTTAAACATAATTTCCTACAACAATCTGGCAAAAGAATAGCAATGAGCCAGATTTAAGGCCACAAATTAAGATCCAAAATGCCGACATGGATCACCAATCAAAAGATAACAGGGAAGCAAGAGGGATCCAATTTTCAATTATCATAAGCCCATAGCAGCATAGCAACGACAATGCCTTCAAACAATATCTTCACAATTATAAAAACCACGAGAACAAAAAAATCATGGATGGGTCAAAAAATATTCAGTAATCCATAGCCGATTGTATTTCGAATCTCACAAAAAACGCTAAATCATCTGTATAATCCGCTTGTTAGCAAATTCGACAAAAACTGTGGTCATATTGTTCATCCACTAATTTGGCCTGCACAGGCCTCATGATACCAACAAAAAGAAAAACCCTATAGTCCATATGCAAAAACTGTAGTTCAATAACCTTAAAACCCAAGCTTTGTTCTACGCCAGTGCCTGCGTTTCGCATTGTACCTGCAAACATGAGAAAACATCATTGATAATGAATCTGCAGAGTCATAATTAAATATCGTAATCTACAAAATCATGATTAAACAGACATACACTTCAAAGAATTAAAATAATAAAAAGTATTAAAAGAACCATAAGAAATGATATGCGCATCATACCTGATTTTGTTATCAGTCCTCATCCTGATCCAGTGGGGAATAGGCCTGTTCTGCCTCATCTTCTTTGCCAACTTCATCTTGATCCTAAAGGTCTTGTGTGAAGGCTGCAAATTCAATTAAACAAAAAACAAAAAAACAAAATCAGATTCACGATACCAGGCAATAACAAAGAGAGATAGAAATCACACAATTTCTAGATTAAGAATTCACTCAAAATACTAAAGAAAGAGAGATTCTAAGATACCTAATCTGTGACTTGAATAGATTGAATGAGAGCCCATTTTTACAGTAGAGAGAGAGAGAGAGAGGGATACCATGTTGAAGTTCTGGTTTGCTCCTGCTCCAAGTGCGTCCCCGTCCCCGTCCTCGTCCTGCCTAAACCCTAATTTCGGCCGTGGATCCCATTTTATAGCAAGAGAGGAAGACAGAGTGCCAAAAAAGCCCCTGCAAATTCAAGATAATGACAAAAGAGTCCTAAAACTTTGACGGTGATATTTTAATGGGAATTTTCGACACAATGACCAAAGAGAGCTAAAACTAAAACGGACGACGGGGAAATTTTGAAGGGTGCTATTTCTATACGGTTGCAATCGAAAGTATCAGAAGTTGGTTGCAGACATTTTCACCCACCGTTTTCGAGGATTATGCACAACGGTTAATGAAAAAGAACAGGTTAACTTGACTTTATGATATCATTTTGACTTTTTAAAAAGGAAGCTCAACCATACCTTTCTTTTTTCTCACTCTAACTTCTGCGTATACCCACAGTTTTATTTTTTTCTCTCTATCACCTTCTCCATCTTCACTAGGTTCTCCTATTTTCCGTAACACTTTTGCACTTTCTCAAACTTCTCTATGGTAACCTCTTTGGCCTTTCATCTTCTCTTGGAGAAGAAAAGCTTAATCTTTTATCAAAATAGAAAGATGAACCAATTTGTTACATAATACTATCTCTCTCTCTAAAATACATAACGGCTTTTTCTCTAGAGTGGGTTTATTTCAAGATAAGATTTTTCTCTATGATTGGAGTGGCTTTATCTAATGGGGTGGTATTCTACTTTGCTCCTGCTACCTTAGTTAAGCAGCTTTGGCCTTGGCTGGATGTCTGTTCAGTCCGTTGTAAATTCCTTCTTTCTTCATGAATGATTTTTAGGCCAGCCCTAAAGGGTGGTTTGCAGTTATTCTTCCATGTCAATGCATGTTCATAACCATCACCATTATAAGGTTTCCCTGTTTTCTTTTTTTCTTTTAATAAAGAGAGGTTTCATTTTCTCATGAACCCAAATAGACCAAAATTTGTGGTCTGTCTTGGATTTTTTTGCTTTTAATTTTTATCCCAGTTAAAAGAAATGATTCAATTGGCATGATAGGATTGATATAGATAACCTGGGTTTTCTTTTATTGACTCCATTTGGGTGTATTTCTCTTTCAATGTCAATGCAAAGTATGTTCATAACCATCACCATTCTAGGGTTTCGTTGTTTTCTTCTTCTTTTTTAATAGAGAGAGATTTCATTTTCTTAGGGACCCAACTAGACCAAAATATGTGGTCTTTCTTGGTTTTTTTTACTTTTTATTTTTATCCCAGTTAAAAGAAATGATTCAATTGGCATGGTAGGATTGATATAGATAACCTGGGTTTTCTTTTATTGACTCCATTTGGGTGTATTTCTCTTTCAATGCCAATGCAAGGTATGTTCATAACCATCACCATTCTAAGGTTTTTCTGTTTTCTTTTTTTTCTTTTAACAGAGCTAGGTTTCATTTTCTTAGGGACCCAAATAGACCAAAAATATGTGGCCTTTTTTGGTTTTTTTTTGCTTTCTATTTTTATCCCAGTTAAAAGAAATGATTCAATTGGCATGGTAGGATTGATATAGATAACCTGGGTTTTCTTTTATTGACTCTATTTGGGTGTATTTCTCTTTCAATGCCAAATGCAAGGTATGTTCATATCATAACCATCACCATTCTAGGGTTTCCTTGTTTTCTTTTTCTTTTTTAATAAAGAGAGGTTTCATTTTCTTAGGGACCAAAATAGATCAAATTTGTGGTCTTTCTTGGTTTTTTTTGCTTTTTATTTTTATCCCAGTTAAAAGAAATGATTCAATTGGCATGGTAGGATTGATATAGATAACCTGGGTTTTCTTTTATTGACTCCATTTGGGTGTATTTCTCTTTCAATTTCCTTTTAGGTCTTCGATGCGCAAATGGATATTTGCATATGTCTTGCTTCCATATTAAGATACTTTTTGTGCTCTAGTATGGCCTCCATTTATGTGTATGTCTTTTTTCACTTCTTTGACTTGGTTGAACAAAGGGATGTATCCCTATAAATCCTCCATATTAAAACAATGGCCTTTTAGAGCTATATATCTTTATACAAGAATGGTGAAATGTGACCTTTTTATTTTAGTTTTCCTTCTTATTCTTTTTTTATTGTAGTGAAGAATGGCCCGTTATTGTTACATGATAAATGTTGAAGTAAATTCGATCCAAATGATATGGGGAACGATTTAATTTACTTACTGTGTAACCTCTTGGGAAGGGTTGGTTTGTTAGTGACTTTAAAAGAGATTGTATTCTTAGCTATGAGTATTCATGATGGGGTAAAAACTATTTGGTTTGTCTTTCTTTTCTTGCTAGATTTAGTAATATATTTGAACACAATGGGAATGGGAATTTGGGCGAGGCTGGTAAGTGATAATACTTTTTCCAATTTTGATGTCAAGGAATTCAAATGTGGTTCCTAATGGGCATATAAATGGTTATTTAAATGCTCATTTATTCCCAAATTCTTGTTCAAGTAATTCTACTTATTTTATTTTAATAGTAATTCAAGTAATTCTTATTTAAGAAGACCTTTATTATAAATTTCAAATGGTTAACCTAATTAGTGAATAATTCATTAATTTAGATAGGTTTGCTGAATTTTGATCTTTTCATATAAATATTGCAACTATTCACAATCAAGTTATATGCATTTGTTAAGTTGTTGAGGTTGGCATTGTGAAGTAATTCCTATGTTTTATACTTCTTCTTTGTGTTCACAAGCTTTAAACAGCTATATGTTTCTTTGTGTGCATGTAACTGGTTATTTGGATACTCAAATTTTTTAATTCCAGTAATGTGTTTCTTTCCTTTTGGAAGCCGTTCAAATAATTATTACAAAAGCAAATTTTTGTTCATAATTTCAAGTTGTTATATATTTATCAACAACATGTTGGTAATTCATTTATTCACATGGATGTGCAAAATATTTTGCTGACAATATGGACTAGAAACACTTTTAATTTTACAAAATAAGAGATAACTAAGTAATTTTATTTTGATCCTTTGTGTTGTGTTTATCAAGCCTTTGTGGAGATTCATTCTAGAGGATAAGAATCTGAAGCTAAAGCCACTGATCTTAGGCCCCTCATCAACATTACCTTTTGAGCCTAACTAATAGCCTAAATATGTATGGTAGCATGAGCCTTGAGGATTTTTCAGAATTATTCAAACGGTGGTGGAAGAGCTACTCTAACCAAAGCAAGCACGTCTTTGCCTTACTTGACCATGATTTGGTCAAGATCTCAATATGCAAATGACATGCACAAATCTAGCATGAAGTATCTCCTTAAGTAGTTTGTAGTAAAAGTTAATCGATCGATGGCACATTAGGATATTCATTTGTACTCTTAAGTATATATTTAATCATTCAGGGGTCTATAGTTCATGTTGTTTTCATTTGGTTGTCTATAAGGTAAAATTTTGGTTTATAATCCCCGGGGGGTTGAACAAGAGTATATCCTTTGTTTTGTGAACTTTATTATTCTTATATGTTGAATGTTTCACTTCTTTTTATGCATTTTTATTTTTTGGTTACATAACTTAGGAGATAGAGAGAGATACACAGAGAGAGCGCATTTGGTATCTATCGGGATGAGAGAGAGAGAGCATTTGGTATCAAACGTGATGAAAGAGAGAGTGTATGTGGAAGGATCGACTACTACACATCCCACATCCCAACAAATTTGTTGCATCAATTGTGACCTGAAATATGCTCATTTGTTAAAAAAATGAACAAGACAAGATAGATTAAATTGAGTAGACACATCAACCCAGTACATTAAACCCACTAATATGCTCATCTAT